GTCCTTTTTTTAACAAATACTGAGCACCTACAACACATAGACCAATGTACTAGGCATTGTGGATAAATCAAAGATGAATGTGTATGTATCTGCCCACCTCATGGTTTGTAATCCACTTGGTTTGTAATTAATTAACAGCTTAATTAATGTAGGGGAAAAAGACTGATGTTGAAGCTGAAGCTCCAATACTTTGGCCACCTAATACAAGAGCTGACTCATTTGAAAAGACCCTGATGCTGGGAAAGATTGAGGGCAGGAGGAGAAGGGGACAGCAGAGGATGAAATGGTTGGATGGCATCGCCGACTCAATGGACATGAGTTTGGGTGAACTCTGGGAGTTGGTGATGGACAGAGAGGCCTGGCGTGCTGCGGTTCATGGGGTCGCAAAAAGTTGGACACGACTGAGCAACTGAACTGAACTGAAATGATGGCATAAGCAGAATGTAAACTTAATGTAATGTTAGTCAACCACAAGGTTTCAAATAGGATCACTAATGTGCCAACTTTTTATTTCTTTCTCACAGTATGGTCGTTTGAAGTGAGTCCTTCCGTGATGCATGAATTAGATATCAAATGGATTTATGACTTCTTTCCCTAGATAAGAGTAATAGCATTTATTTCTTATATATAATAGGTGTTCAATTCTTGCTGGCTGGCTAATTAGCTGAGGTAGAGGAATGAGTTGATATATTAAAAAAAAAAAATCATCCAGCTCCCAAATATAAAACAGTCTTTGCCAAAGACACCTCCTCTTTGCTTGATGAGCTAGTTGACACAGTAAGAACTTGCAGCAGTGTTGTTTTTCATCTTCCATTTTATAATGATAGAAGACATTTGATTATTTGGAAATTAAGCCCTAAACTGTTTTAATTCTTTCTACTGCTTCCTCCTGTTGGAAATTCTGCAGCTGAATATTGGCAACAGTTTGTATCTTGGCAAGCAAATGATGCTGTTTAAGGACAAAAGTGTAGGAAGGAGTATAGGACATCTGTTACAGAAGTCATGTAGTCAGAGCCCATTATGTTTATTAAACTCATTTGTTTCCATTTTCATACATTCTAAAGCAAAATGTCACCGTTTAACTGTTCAGTTTATAAAGAGCTTGGAGGTATAAATTGTGTGGGCCTACCTGAGACTTCAATGAATGAGCATCACTTTGTTCAGTTGATTTTATTGCTCCTTTAAGCTTTGAGTATATAATAGGTTCGTTGAGATAAGATTATCAGTAGTCAAGGGCCTTTGTTAGGTGTGAAACTGAAACCAACAGAATTTCCTATCCCTGTTAAATGATACTGGGATCGAGCTACTTTCCCAACCCTGTGTTAAAAAAAAAAAAATGAGAATGAATAAAAAATAACAGCTGCTTGCTTACCTTCCTTCTTCTGATAAGGTACTCTTAAGACCCTGTCCAAGGGAGTTCACGGACAGTCCAGTGGTTAAGATTTTGCCTTCCAATAGAGGGGATTCCAGTCAATCCCTGGTTGGGAGCTAAGATCCCATATATAAATCCCATAAATAAATCCCATAAATAAATAAATAAATCCCATAAATAAATAAATAAATAAATAAAATAACAGAAGCAATATTGTAATAAATCCAATAAACACTTTAAAAAATGGTTCATATCAAAAATCTTTTTTAAAAATCTTAATTTAAAAAAAAAAAGACCGTGTCCGAGGGGTCTTCTCCCTTGCTGCAGTATGTTTAGTTAATTTTGTGTGATTTGCAGGTTTCTGCTGGGATTTTTGAGGAGGTGACAGTTAACAGATACAAAATTTTCAGACATTCTTCCCAATGGGACACTGTTAGATGAATAAAACTTGTCTTAAAAAGGTGAAAAGCTCTGGTTCATTTATTCCAAACTTACCTTCTTATAAAATGAAGCAGTTGACTAATTAAGAAAAGTTATCCTTGCTATGAAGTTAGGCCTGCTGATGAGGCTGACTGATTTATGGGATTTCATGATTTTTCAAGTTTTAAAAGGTATGCCATTAAGTCAGTTTTCACAATCTGCAGAATTGAGTCAAGCTAATAATATTCCCAAGAGGCTAATTTGTGAGTCAAAATGTTAACACTGTCTCTTACAACTGAAGGTATGACTGGTCTAAGAACACCAATTCCACGTGATACCTTTTCTAGATAACTCTAGTCAAGAAGTCAGATTCTAGATCAAAAAGTTGTTTGTGAATATCAGTCAGGTCAGGGGGAGTTGTAGCTTTTTTATTTTTTCTTAAGATTTGTTTGATGTGGATCATTTTATAAGTCTTTATTGAATATGTTACAGTATTGCTTCTATTTCATGTTTTGGGTTTTTGGCCATGAGACATGTGGGATCTCAGCTCCCCAACCAGGGATTGAACCCACACCCCTGCATTAGCAGTTGGAGTCTTAGCCTCTGGACTCCCAGGGAAGTCTGGAAATGCAGCTTCTTAAGGAAATAGCTGACTCTTTCATTTTTCACTGTATTTTATTTTGTAAATCATACTTTAAGGATTTTATTTTTTCATGTGACTCACTGCAACAAGTTATCTAGATTTGGAATAATCAATGCTTTTGTTATTATAAATTATTTCATTTTTTCCCAACCTAAGCATGACCACTGCCCCTTTCATTTGCATCTATAATAATCCTATTAGCCCCCTTCATTTTAGTATATTTTCAAAATTCTAGCACTGCTAAAGCTTACAGATTCATTTTTATTGAAATATGTTCCCAAATAAATAAGGAGGCCCCTGATTGCATAATTTTTTAAAAAACAGTTCTATGATCTGTGAATCTCATCTTAGCTTCAGTCCCAAAAGATACCCAGATTTTAGGGTCTCCCTTAGCTATAGGAACTATTTTCTTTTTATTCACTACTCAAGTCTGAGCAATTTTTTGCTAGTCTTAACAACTGTATCTGAATACATGCCAAAGATGCTATAAACACTAAATGCAAAAAAAAAATCAATATTTCTATTATTTTCTGCTATGTAACTTGCTAATTCATCTCAATCAATAATTTCTCTTTTTAGTTGATGGAATCCAGATTTTGAAATTTTAATAAAATTTCACTTGTCTTATTAAAATAGTAACATGAGACATTCTAGAATGTTTAGATAATATAGGTAGGAGAAAAGCAGAAAATTAAAATCATCTGTTTCTTCCCATCCATATATAAATATATTTATATATTATGATGTGTATTATTTTTATTCTCTTGTTTTCAATGTATGAGTATATTTTTTTGTTTGTTGAAAACAATATCATCCTGTTATACTGTTTTATAACCTAGTTTTTGACTGTTAATATTTTATGAATTCATCTCCATGCCATTAGATATTATTTCAGAAGCCCTAATTCCCTCAGTGTCACATAGGTTCCCATGGATGGTGCCACATAGTCTATCTATTTCTTATTCACGAATTGGAACAAACATTAGCATAATAAAAACTGATTACTCCTGCTCCTCCAAAAACATCTATGTAATGGAGAATTTCCCAAATGCATGTGGCTGTGGAATTCACGTGTTTGTCCACGTTTATGTGTTTAAGATGCCAGTTAGTATATCAGTGTAGCCTGGTTTTCAGCAGTCATTTTATTGAATTCATATTTGTATTGAATGGATATTCCATTTTTTCCCAAGCATTTGGACATTAAGGAAATTTACATCTTTTTATTAACTTGGAAAGCACTGTTAGTCCTTCATGGTAAATCTACATATGGACTTGCAGTGTTTCCTTCAATTTGAAACCATTTTGTCCAAGACTGTATGAAGTATACTATGTGGAGTTTCAGAAGATTATCAGAAAAGCTAATACTTTATAGAAGACTGATTAATTGATGAATTTGAAATATGCCAGTTGTGCTCTGAAAGCATAGAACATTATTAAATAAAGACATAACCTATGATTAATCAGGTGGTTGAACAACTACTTTGATAATTTAATTCTTGAACTGAAACTGTTTGCCCAGGCAGACACATCTCTGACATCCCCAGCTAAAACCCACGTACATCCCTCATTCCCTGAGAAGAGACTTCACATTCACATTACAGTGGTTGCTCTTTGTTAAATATTTGTGTTTGGTAGAATGCAGTGAGTAGTTTGACTACTTCAAATGTATTTCAGTAGTTAATAATTATTATTCTGGAAGGGTAGTTGAGAATGAAGGATTCAGGAGAGAGTTAAGCGAGTCTCTGGGACATCCAGCACCTTTATAATTTCAGCTGCTTTATTTAACAAGCAAGTGTGGCTTAGGTGCTAGAGTTGCAAGTGAGAGAAGGCAGAATGCCTGCCTTCCAGAAACTCTGGTGCCACGGGGAGAGTTATAAATGCATGAAGAGCTGTGGAACGCTGAGTTAGAATCATATGTGGCTGGAAAAAAACATACGAGAGGCATCTCAATAAAACTGAGGAGTGGAGAACGTGTTTTGGAAGAGATGACACTTAAAAGGAGTCAGCCAGCTGGAGAAGGGAGAGAGAAGTATGCTGATCAGAGGACTTTTCATCTTGAAGGTCCAGTGGTATGAAAGAGCCGGACTTCCCAGGATACCTCCCAGGGTTATCCATGACAGATACAGGAGTGGACATCAGAGCAAGGTCAGAGAGGATCTCTGTGCTAAACTTTGGATCTTAAATGTTGAGCTTTATCACTAAAGACATGGAGAGTTATTGAATGATAATAAGCAAAATAGTCACATTTTAAAAGTGATCCACATGATATTCAAGTGAAGAATGGAATTAAGGAGAAAAAGACTGGAGATATTAATTCTAGGCAAAATAAGAAAAAGAATTAATATTTCAGAGAAATACAATCTGCCGAGAGGAATAACATAGTCTGTTTTTTGGAGCCAGATTAACTGGTTCCTAACTCTGATTTCACTCTTAAGACTCTGACCTGGGGATGTACCTCAATCTCTCTGTGCCTAGCTTTTCTCATCTGCAAAAAGGATGTAATGACAGTGCTCAACTCAATTATTTTATGAAGATTAAAAGAGCTAATTATAGTGTCTAGTGCATAGAAAGCATCCACTATTATTACTATCATTGCTAATCTAATATTGTTATAAAAATAGAGCATTATTATAGTATAATGATATGCTATTGAGTATAATATATTATTCAATTTATTCATGTCTTTAGGATTTGTGGCCTGGTTAGAAATGACTGTCAGGCTGTATGGCAACAGGGCTAGAGAACACAGGAAGAAAACTGTTTGGGGAGATAGGGGAAGAGAATTGATGTGAATTAAATGCTGGAATGAAGCAGTTGTGGGACTTCCAAATGGAATTTTCTTGTGAGTAGTTCATTGTAATGGCAGAAAGGTATGGACTCTGGAAGAAGATGTGAGAATTTATTAGCACATCATGGCTGTTTGATGCCACTGGACTGGATCCATTTGCTGGGCAATGCGTAGGTCAGAAAGTGAGAAAGGCTTTGACAGCTGAAGGCGGATATGAACACCAGCAGCTTTGCGTGCCGGTCTGGGTATGACAGAGAACACAGTGGGTAGGGAATCCTCCTAAACCACAAGTAAGGAAAAATGGTTCTGCTGATTCTTGGGCTCTGATAAGGTCATGAACAGATGATTTCCTGGTATCCTGAAAGAATTCCTTCAACTTTACAATTTGCCAAACCCTTGATGCCAGGGTAGAGCTTTCGGCTGAATCTTCTTTATCAAAGATATTTATCCAATATTTATCAAATACTGGAATTTTTAGAAGGAAAGTCCTGTGGCCTCTAACTGTTACTAGACATTGCTTTTAATTGTTGTTAAGGACGTGACCAGCATTGAACCTCTAAAATACCAAAAAATTGGTGTTCTTGATACCCTAATGTGATTTCTGCCCTTGTTTTAGAATCATGGGGTTGACAAATGAGATTTGTGCTGGATTTTCCTGCCTTTCTAGTGATCATTCCTTAGTGAGATCTGAGCTCTATCTTGCTGTGAACCTGTTAACTTGAACATTAAGTTCTCCCTTGTGTTTGCATTTCCCCTAAGGTAGAGTCACCAACTGCTTCTGCCCAGCCTCAGAGAAAGGGAATTGTGTAAGATAGGAAGGTTTGACTTTGCCTCCAAGGCCACCGCTGCTAATTGGCCATCATTCTCAGGGATTCTAAATTCTTGGCAGGTTAGATTTTAAATGTAATCCCTTCTCATCTCATCTTGAGTACAAGTAATCCCCAGGAAATGCCATCAGCTTGTGGTAAATCATTGCCCAGGTACAAGCAAAAATGCCCCTGTGAGGAAAATCAAGGAATTTTACCTAGCAGTGAATATATATTTTCTCCCATAGAGGTTTATGTCTTACTCTTCACTTTTTTTTTCCCTACCCCTTTTAGGAAATTCTTATATGAGGCAGTTCTTATTCTCTAATATTGGACAAAGACCCTTAAATCAGTTTACAAATAAAAATATTGTACTTGTGTTCTTAGGACCCTAAGGTGGGACAGCAGGTCCAAAGGGCCCCTTAAATTTGAAAACTATAAATTATGCACAATTGTTCATCAAAGTTGTCCATCACAGTTAGTTGGTAATCATTAGGCACTACCACCGTGTTGTAAAATTTTATGCTATTTCCCCAATTATGAAATATTAGTAAGGAAGATATACCAAGGGCTGGGAACATGGCGGAACTCTGTCGGTATTTTTTCTCCCATTGACTATAAAAATTAAGCAAAAATTCTTGGCCACCTCTACCCTACTTTGGTGTTCTCTTGTGTCGATGAGGCTCAAGTCTTCTCCCTGGTGTATCTCAGTTCAAGTAGACTGCCCTTTCCTTCATAGGAACCCTAATGACAGTTTCATTTTTGCAAGGAACCATATGCAGTCACTGGGCATTTTGCAGCGCTGGCTACAAAATGGCCTTATTTTTCTGCTGTAAAGGAACAGACTGGAATATCGGAAGGGTGTGTTTTCAAGAGTGTGGGAAATAGACCTTTTCTGACATGACTTTCAGGTGTGTACTGCCATAGGCTATTACAGGGAAAACTTCGAAGAATTTGGGACCTAGGAACCCACTTTCAGAAATAAAAGCTCTAACCATTAAGAATATATTGACAAATGTGTTTACTGTTTGCAGAAGCCCAAAATTATATGTCTACCACTAGACGGTTGAATAAATAATAATGTATTCATTCTGTGGAGCCTTATGTAATTGTTAAAAAGAACATACTAGATTTCTATGTATTGCCTGAAAAAAATATCCATGAATTCTTTTAAGCACAAAAATATTTGTAGATTATATAAAGTATAATCCCACTTTACAGAAACAGGATGAAGAAGCCCTGTATATTTGTCAGTGTGTATGTGTGTATGTATATGTCTATAAATGCAGTGACAGAATTAGCATACAGAAAATTAGTGATATTAGCTCATAGGAAAAAGAAATAAGGGTTTTATTTATATACCTCTGTGTCATTTTACATATTAAAATGACCATGTGTCATTTTGTAATGAAGTGCAAAAAGGAGAATCATTAGATAGGAAATGCTTGCTGTCAAATAGAAAATTATCTCCCCTTTCGAACTTAAAAAAAAATCTGAATTTAAATGATGTGGTTTAAACCCAAACATTGTCTGAATTCGGCCATTACAATATAAATTATAGCTTTCTCTCAGCAGACTTTGTGTTTGCCTGGGTCCCAGGTCTCTTAAATAAATAGGTTGTGTTTATTCAAATGCTGGATAAGAAATCATTTTTCAAACATAAAAATTACCCTATATAGTACTCTGAACTCCTATCTTGAGACTGCACATGAGGACCGCAGTGGTTGTGTTGCTAGAATACTAGGAAATGAGGGGAGGACTATTGAAAACTGCGGGCTCATGAAAGCTCTAACTTTTCTGAGATGTGTAGCTTTAGGGAGAATTTTGGAAATATTTCCAATTTCTCCAGTTTGTCTTTCATTGTTATGGGAAAAAAAAATGACTTTCAAATAGTAAAGAATTTCCCATCAGTTTTTCAATAGCTTTTCTTCCAGCGAGCAGCTAGGTTCCTTCTGAGAGAATATTTCTAATAAGAAAAAAAAAAAAAGCAGTTTCAAAGTCCAAACTAGTATACAAAAGGCTTTGCTGACCATTTTTTTATGTTCCTGAGGCTGAGTTCAGTTCTATTGTGAACCGTAATTTATGAGGGAGAACCCACAATTTTTTGACGAGCAAATTTGAAAACCACCATAATCATTTCCATGTGCCCATCTCATTTTCTAAGGATCTCTAGTAAGTTTAGCAAACAGTTTCCCCCCTTTGAAAACATACCAAATAATTGATTATTTCCTCCCTCTCAGGTGCATGTTTGGTCTATAGTGTTACTCTGATTTCCCAACCACTGTAACATTAGGTTGATGTTCTTTTAGACATCAGACAATAATGGATTAAACCTTGCTGCCTACTCAGAGATCTCGTCTGAGTGGAAATAGGTTTTTGTGGCACTACAGAATTTTTAACCTCATCTACTCAGCCAATAACTGGTCAGAGCACCGATTCTGGTTAGAAATAAGCAACAAGCTTCCTGTATCCATGAACAGAAAACAAGCGAGTGCGTGTAGCCTCTGAGAAACACGGGTTTACTTTTAAAGCAAAGCAGCACCCAGCGACCAGAGAGCAGCATGTGTCTGAAATCCATTCTCTGACACGTTCTTTCCAGCATTTCCCAGGAATGCTGGGCTGACTCCTAAGACTTGTTTTTACTTCCTGCCTTTTGGATAAAATGAGTTTGCCAACCAGCTGTGAGTACCTAACCCTGGGGAAGATGGCTAGATTCCGAAGCCCTGCATATGTTCATGGATCACCTTATGCAACCAACAAGCCCATTGACATTAAGCCACAGAGGAGACGGTAACTGCTTTCCTTTCTTCTAGCTGTTTGTCTGTGAAAACGTGTTTTGTTGCCCTTTAGTAACTGCTTTGGAGGTCTGCTGAGCTGGGAGGGTCAGGGTGAGAGGTTAGTTCTAAAATTCAGCATACTGGATAGCTAGAAAAAAATTAACCAAAGAGGAAAGAGAGCTGGAAAATATTCTTAGCTTAGCTATTAGCAAAAGCTGATATAGTTTCAGGGTCTGTAGATTTTAAGAATTTAAGAGGTTACTATTGCTTGTACTACCTTCAGAATTATGGTGAATATTTCACAGAGGATTTTCCTAAATAATGGATATTTATTAAAATCTCTTATTACCAGATTCCCAGTATCTCACAATCTACAGATAACATTCTTTAATGCCTAAGTATGATAAATAGGTTCAAATTCTATTAAAAAGCATTGATTTACATGTGGTCACTATGGAAGCCAGAATAGGCTTAGATATTTTTCCTTTGAAGAAGATGTCATTTGTAGATCAAGGTTCCAAAATTGTGCTAACTCACAGTCTCCATACAGACACACAGACACACACACACACAGACACACACACACACACACACGGTTCCAAAATTGTGCTAACTCACAGTCTCCACACAGACACACACACAGACACACACACACACACACACACTCTCACTCTCTCTCTCTCTCTTTCTCTCTCTCTCGCTCTCCCTACCCAGGCCAGCTCACGTTGTATAATTAAGAGTTTCAAAGTTGAACTGAGTGTTTTCATTACAAGAAAAGAGGGAGTGCAGTAAGAAAACCCTTTCTTATCTTCTAGCCTTTTTACTGCAGTGTAAAAATAGGGTTGATATGTTTGACAAATGGGTCTAAAACTGATCCCTCAATTTGGATTTTATACAGTCTATTTTCAGTTTTTTTCAGAATGAACTTTGGGAGCATTTTACATGCCAATTCTCCATAATTTTATGAAATCTTGAAATCAGAATCCAAAATTCACAAAGGAACATTACTTACTGAAAGACTGTCATAATCAGCCTACACTTCTATTTTTTCCTTTTCTTAGGAAGCATGTATAAACTCACACATAAAGGATACATTTTGCCAAACATGACCTTATTTGTAAACATAGAGGAACATTAGGATATTTAAGTGATTTTTTTCTAAAAGTTTCCAAACTCTCAGAAATCCCTTGGGGTTAGTTTTTCAACTGTAAAAAAAAAAAAAGTTGATGGGAATGAACTTTTAAAAAATTTTTGTGAGGGGAAATATTCAATTCTCTTCCCCAAGTACAAAGGCTCTTCCTGTCAACCTCTAGGACCATTTGAATTTATAGCACGCTGGCAGTAACTAGTAACTGTGTCAGAGAACATTAGGAAAATGTATCCTGAGACTCCCTACACAGCTCAGTTTTAATCAGTCACCCAACTCCCTTCTGTAATTAGGGGTGTGGCACCCACACCACAAAGGCACACAAGACACCACATTGTTAACATATAGTCATGAAAATGTAACACTCTTCCATAATAGGGGATGTTGCATCTTGAAAGCCTACTTGAAATGGATATGCAATACAGGTTGATAGAATTGTGGCCTATAGCTTGACAAAGTTAGATAATTTTTTACTAATATCGCATTTATTGAGAGAGACATAGTGGTTATGGCTTTGTCTTGAAACCAGTTAAAGAGGGTTCAGTTCCTTCCTTTTTTATTTTAAATTTACATCAGTAAGGTCTTCAAGTGCATCAATGCTGTCTTCCTATTCACATTACCTTACCTTTTTTTTCCACCTAAAAGTAATCAACTTCCTGTGTAAGTCAGCAGAATTGTGTGTTTATATAAGCTGATAAGTATATGTATGTAGTGTGGACTTGGCATGTTGCTTTGTACCCAGACAAGTTCAGACTTATCTTCAGTCACTTTTTACACTGAGTATTAACAATGTATTTTCCAAGCAAATATCCTTGCAAAGTGTTTGACAATAACTGGTATTTTGTAGTGTAGACCTCAAATTTGTAAAAATGTCTGGTCTAGCTTGTCTGTCAGTACAATACATTGCTTATTATATACAGCAAGTAAATCAAATAAATGGCCTTTTGTTTAAAAGATATGCAATCATTAAGTCATTATATTTAGAGCTTCTATCCCATAGAAGTATAACTCTGGCAACAAACGTGTAATGAAAACGATGGTTGGAGGGGCTGGATAAATGGGTGAAGGAAGATCCAGCTCATGAATGGTGTCTTTCTATTGTGTAACTCATATTTTTAAGTTGTACATTTTAAAACCTTTATTTGAACTTCGTTTTAATCTGCTGAGAAGTCAGTACCTCTGGTACAGTGGTAGATTATTATTGTAGATGCAGTACAATCGACCCTGAATTAAATGGTGACGTTTCAGAATACTTGCTGGGACTCATCTAAGATTTGTTAAGACAGCACGTTTAAGTTTCCTTTCACGTAGTTACATTTGAGCTCTTTGGCAGAAAGGATACTGTTTCGGTAATCACCAAAATGGAGGGAAGGGAAAGGGAGGAAGCCCGGAAAACATCTAAAGAAGAGCAGATGTATGTTGGTGTTCTAACCTAGTCAATGAAGTAGGAAATCTAATCGTATCAAAATATACCTCAATTTGAGTTCAAGTATATCCTTATAAAACAATGACTTGTTGAAAGAACAGCATGTTGCCTTGGAGCTCAGGGAGATAATTTCCAAATTGAGAATGAGCAGCACTGTAAGTGTGACCGCATGGTCATTGGATAGTTCTGAATTCTTATTTCAGGAGCAGCAGTGAAGAGATTAACAAAGAAGCTAACACTCCTAAATCTTAATTAATCTCAGTGTTGAAGAGAATGACAGTCTTACCACCTGTGATTCTAATAATTTTCTATATTCATGTTCTATTAAAAAGTTCCTCTAATATTTTGTAGCCTCCACAAACTCAAGGACTCTATTTTTACTCTTGTAAAAAATAGCTTTCTTTAAATTTTATAATACTTTGATGTCCCAATTTTAATACATAGAGAATAAGTAGTCAGATTTAATCGGCTTTTCCACTCCATCCTCACCCCGTCAGGCTGCAGGGTTTCTGAGTGTATGGATTGCTTCCTGCTCACTGCCACATCCTTGGTGCCCAGCATACAGCCAGGCACAGATCAGACAATAAATTATTTAGGAAATAAATGATGAGAAGTTGCGTGTTACCTATCTTGGCATAGTTGTATGTATCCCTTCCCTGAGTACCATCATATGGAGTCTTTGGCAAGACCTTGCCTCTGCTATTCTGGATCGGCAGAGTTCCCTTCCTCATTTCCCTGTAGAGTCTGCATAGAGCACTAACTGACTTTAGACCCCTGGCCTAGGTGGTTGGGGATCATGCTTTTGTTTTTAGCAAGTGAACAAAACATATGTATTTCCTTTTGCTTCATCAAACATAACCATATAGTAAAAATGAGAAGTCACTGTGAAGGGAAGAGAGGAACGTTCCTAGAGGAAAGGGATATTGAAACGGTCAGAAATGTGATAGAAGCGCAAAAGTGGATACAATCAGTTACACAAATTGTGAAATGTAAGCCCTAGTTCTGTTTGTCCTGCAGTAGTATTAAACTCAGAAAACATTTTTTTTTTTTTTTAGCAAAATTAGCAACAAATATTGGGAGCAGTGAAAGAGGCATGTCCGGACTCAACAGCACCCTCAGATACAGAAAACACCTGTGCTCCTGGGCGCTTCTCACAACCCAGCACGTCTGGGTCCTCACGCGTCTCAGCAGCTCTGCCCCAGGTCTCTGGCTGGCGGGCCTCTGTCCTGCGCTGCCCTGGGGTCCCTCCTGCTTCCCACCTTCTTCTCATTCTCTCCATTCTGTATGCTCCTTCTTCCCTGCCGTCTCTGGGATAAGAAAAAAAGGAAATAGGAATGAATACTAGCAGTCTGAGTCTGCATTAATCAGCCTCTTTTCTCCTTGAGAAAAGATTACAGTTGCACACTTAGATTTCTAATCAATCGTCTGACTTGAATTTAGTCAAATTAATATTACTTTTAGTTCATTAGTAGTAGTATAAGAAATAAATTGCTAGTATTAGTTTGCCAGAGCTGCCATAACAAAATACAACAGGCTGAATGGCTTGAACAACAGAGATTTATTTCCTCAGTTTTGGAGCTACAAGTGCAAGATCAGAGTGGTGTCAGGTTTAGCTTCTCCTGCCACCTCTCTCTCTGGTGTGCAGATGCTGTCTTCTCACTGTGTCCTCACGTGGTCTTTGCTCTGTGCCTGCACCCCTGGTCAATCTGTGGGTCCAAATGTCCTCTTACGAAAAGACCACTAGTCAGATTGGATAAGGGACCCATTTGAACAGCCTCGCTCATCACCTCTTTAAAGACTCTGTCTCCAGATGCAGTCACATTCTGAAGGATAGGGGGTTAGGTGTCTCCACATGAATTTTGGGGTCAGTTTAGCACATAGCAAATTGTAATCATAGAAATGCTTTGCTATCATGACTGTGGAAGGAGACAGGAATTGGACTATGATTCCTCAGTAATTAGTGGACTCTTGTTTATAAAAAAAAATGTTCAATCAATGAGTCTGAACTTGCACGAGTGATATATTCAAAGTATAAGTGAATACATCCCACTTTCTTTACCGAAGGAAAACAGTTACACACTGTGTATGGTCAATCTTCATCAAATATAACCTGTTTCACTCAGAATCTAGCATCATTCAAACAGAGCCCAGATCAGCATTTGCTTTTCAATAACCCTTTTTGAAAAAGTGGTTATTAAATTTGTTATCAATGCAGCCAGTAGTTTTCAACTGGAACTTTTGGCAACGTATAGGGACATTTTTGATTGTAAGTTGTGCGGGCTCAGTCACTCATTCATGTCTGACTCTTTCAATCCCACGTACTGTAGCCCACCAGGCTCCTCTGTCCATGGGATTTCTCAGACAAGAATACTGGAGTGGGTTGCCATTTCCTCCTCCAGGCAAACTTCTAGACCCAAAGATTGAAGCCAAGTCTCCAGGT